AGATTAGATTGACTGACAGCTACAGATACTAAGAGGAAGTTGGAAAGAAAGATTTCTCTTTGTTAGTGTCACAAAAAGTTTTTGTTAGCAAATACAGTTTGGAAGAAAATGTAATATACAAACACCAGAGAACATACAGGTAACTGAATATAAGTGAAATTAATGGGTTAGTGTCAGTTCTCTTACTTTGTGTCTGAGGGTCCAGGTTCATTACTGAAGTGTAGAGGAAACTCTTTTGACTGATCACTCTTCATAGACAGACAGCTGGACACTGGAGACTCTGCTCTGTCCTCCTCTTCCTCCACACAAACACTCATCTTCTGCACTTCAGTCAGTCTGAGCGATAATATATTAAGACTGTGAGCTCATAGCACAAGAAACAGGAAACAGGAAGTAACACACACACACACACACACATATGGGTGGGTGTGGCGCAGAGGCAGAGCGGGGCTTCCCCTAATCAGAAGGTTGTTGGTTTGATCCCCGGCTCCTGGTGCCACACGTCAAAGTGTCTTTGAGCAAGATGCTGGTCTGTGAATGTGTATGAATGAGTTAGATTCTGTTCGATGGGCTTTTTCATCACTGAATGAATGAGTGTGAAAGGGTGAATGTGGCACGTAGTGTAAACGCGCTTTGAGTGGTCAGAAGACTAGAAAAGCACTATACAAGTACAGGTCCGTTTACATGGACAGACAGAGACACACATTATACAGAGTATTAAACATAATAAAACCAGCCAGAACTCCTGGTCACTTTTCTTTAAACCTGTATTTGATTTCTTGGGTTACAGTAGGTTTAATCTGTACTTTGACAGTAAAATAATTAGAATGTTGTAATAACACTCACCCTGCCTCAGCCTTCAGTTTCCCTCTTTCTGCTCTGTCGACTCAAAATGGACACTAAACAAACTGAACACTTTCACTTTCAGGGTTTCCTCCCTTTTTTTCCTCAAAGATCAGCTGTTTAACATGATGAATGTTTCCTGGGTTTGACAGATGTAATTAAAATGAGTAGTTTGATATGTTTTAATAGTAAAAAAAACAACTGTAAGACTCTTTGACAATGCATATACGTGTATATATAATGTTGTATAACACATTACAATCCAACAGCACCAGTAACTCAACCTCTAAAATAAAGTTTAATCAACCTCTGTAAAACAGTTTCACTTTGTATGCTTCATTATACTGAAGCAGGTAAGAAGAAATATATAACCTAACGTTAGTTCTCCAGATGCTGACAATATCACAGCCACAATGTAAAATAATAACAAAGCAGGAATTTTAAGTGAAAACCATCGTTGTCCAGTGTATTACTTTTTTTTTGAATATGTAACACAGTTATCAACTTTAAATTTAACTCAATTAAGGGCCACAAGAAGGAGGTGTTGACCCCATAATTGATAATAAAATAAATGATAATATTGATAATCCATAAATGCTACTATTTGTGTTATCTGTTGTTTGTGGATTCTTACTGTTTTTTTTCTTGTACATAGTGTTTTTATTTATTATTTTCCTACTTTTACTGTTTTTTATAGTGTTTTTTCTCTATCCACTTTGCTGCTGCAACATTGGAATTTCCCCATTGTGGGACAAATAAAGGAATATCTTATCTTATCTTAATTATAATGTGGTCAACAGCGCCCTCTAGTGACCAAATAACGGCAGTTAAAACAATGTAAACAGAAAACAGCAGTTTCCTACTTCAACACTGAATCTAATCCAGCTGCAGCAGTTTACCAACATTAAAAACTCCTTCAGGGGAAATATGAGGAGAAAATAAAATGTCAAAGCTTCCTGTTTCACAGCTGAACTTGATATTTATGTAATGATATTAAAAAAAAAACCCCACTTAGACCTGACATTAAAACTGTTGTATTAACCCTCTACCGCATTCATTATTACTTAAACATGATGGAAATGTTTTAATTCATTTTTATTACTTAAAATGGTTAAATAATGGAAATATTTGATATATTTATTACATTTTTTTAAAATAAAACTGATTTTTTACTGATGAAAATTAAAAGTTAACTTTCCCCAGATAGTTTTTGAATTTGTGAAAAGAGAGCCTCTTTTCACAACTGAACTAAAGTACAGGTGAGTAAAACTGAGAAAAAGTAATTGTTACCATATGGCAACACCATACAAGAAAGGGTTAAACCAGGGTTTCATTTTAACTTGATTTTAATTTAAATGTAATATTTTAAATCAAGTTGAACTAAATCATGATTCCACTGAATTTTTGCCAAATGAAGTCAGTCAGACAGAAAGAGTTCACATCAGCAGTCCAGTTAAACCAGTCTGAGGGGAAACAGTGGAAATGGGGACATCTGCTGGCAGAAAGCAGCTCCAGCAGGAGCTACAGAACATGAACACTGGTGATAACAACTGCTTCAACACTGATTTCTGAGGGGTAAAAGCTCCACAGGTTGACTTTATGATCATCTACTGTGAAAACTAGCAGAGTCACACATAAAAACTCTAACTCACTGATGTTTTCACTTCTAAAACGTTTAGATTTAAAACGTTATACACGTGGAGCAAATTCACTGAATGTTTCACTTTGATTTGAAAACAAGGCTCCTGCGACATAAAGACAGTGAATGAAACAGATCTTCCATTGCAGAGTAAAGCATTCAGTTCACTCAGTGCAGGGTGTCATTTAATGTACAATGTTAAAGGAAAGTAGTGCATCACGCTGAGTCATTACCAAGTTGTTAATGCATCATTATCTCATGATTATAATGACTCAGCATGTTGTGTCCCCTCAAGAAGAACGTAAAGCTACACAAGTGACAAACAGGGACTGAAGTTTTATCCACAATGTACAAATAATTTATAAAACCAGAAACAGCACAATTCATATTTGTTCATTTTATTGTTTTTATTCTCCGAGTGTATGTTAGGACTGGATGAACACAGTCTTGTATTTGTTTCTATTATTGTCAGATCCAGAGGAGCAGTAGGGAGGGGAAGAGTGGAACTAAACACTCTAGAGTCCAAACATCTGGGGGGCCTCAATTAATGACATTAAAAGTTTCTTTTTATCTTTTAATCCTTAAAATGTAATATTGTAATAAACTATTACTTCAGGCACTTCGGACAGAAACTGTTCAGTCTCTAATCTCTGTAAATACTCTGATGCTTATTTGAGGACTTTGTGTCATTTCAAAACAACAAAGCAACAAAGCAGTGTTTCAGAAGGGTTTAATGTTGGTGTGTAAAGTGGCTCCAGTCAACAGATCCTATTATAGTAGTTAGCTTGTTGATAAGTTAAGTAGCCTTTAGTCCGAGAGCCACAGAGTGAATCAGCTGTAGCTCCATCATCACCATCATCTCCTGTTACTGAGGACGTTATCTCCTCAACTCAAACTGAGTTATTACTGAACATGACCTCCTGTATTAAGACCAGTGAATCAGTTTGAGAGTGACAGCAGCTTCTAATCCTGTTTTCAGTTTAACTCTGGGGCTTCCTTTTTATTGTTCATGTATTGAATTTGCCTTTAAGTCTCTAAAGTTTACTTCTTCTGTGTTACAACAGACTGGACGAGCACTAGTTGGAACCTGATTCCCCTTAATTGTGTGAATAAAACAAAAAAAGATCTTTCTCAGTGTGGGAGTCAGAGTCAGATGGCTTTCCACCTTTGTTTTATGCTCAGAGTCTGATGGAGACATAAACAGCCGACTGCAAACTGAGAAACTACAGTAAAGCTTTGATTGAATCCAGACTTTGTTCAGGTTTTATCTTGTTTCTGTTCTTCGCAAGCAAATATTCATCTGTTATAAAATGAGAAAAAGCTGATGTTTGTGGTAGTTATTGATTTATTTATTTGAAAATCAGCAGATCAATAAGCAACCAACAGTTGAATCTTCTTCAGAAATCAAACTCTGGAGAAACCAAAGAAATAATTCAACAAATGTGCTTCATTTACACCAACATGGAGACAATAGAATAATATAGCAAGGCATTATATTTCTAGTAACTTTAAGTAACTCTGTTTAATATTTTTAAAATAGCAATGGATCAAATATCAATATGAAAATAGATCAATATCACCAGACTTTGCAGTTCTTTAGTTCAGTTTCCTGCAATAACACAATCCATTGGTATATATTCGAAAAATTGACTATTTTAAAAGATAACAGATATATAATATTGCAATAATATTAATGATTCCAAAATATATTGTGGAACTCTCCATCTCCAATTGATTTCTTTCTTTGCACTTTGTGAAGTAAGTTTCAATCTACAGTTATGTTGACATTGTGTCTGACAGTGGAGCTGATCTCAGAGCAGTTCAGACTGCAGCACTGAGAGTCATCTCCACTGGTTGTGATTCCTCTGTCAGTCCCTGCTGGATGAAGCTCTCCTCTCCACTCTACCTCCCAGTAACATGGCCCAGTCAGAGCTGATGTTGCTGCTTCAACCTCTCTGGATCATCAGGACACAGCTGATCCTCCAACACAACCTCCTTCCTCACCACTCAAACTATGTTAGACCACCATCTGATGAGAGAAGAAGACAGACAACAGAACTCAATAGAAACACATGTAGAGATAGAGAAACAGACAGGCCTGTGTGTGTGAGTCAGACTGATCTTAGAGCTGTGACAAAGATGAACTGATCAGTTGTTTAGTGTTGAAATGAGAGAACAAACACTTTGAGATCAGATTTGATGGTGCGACAGTTTGATGAATGAGGACCACTGTCTCTGTACATCTTGTAATGCTGTCAGCTGGAATCCAGCTTTATTTCCTGTAGACATGAACACAACAACAGCAGTCATCTTCACATCAACTCAAACACATCTGATTGGCTGACTGTTTTCTCTCTCTGTCTGTCTGTCTGACTGTCCAACCCTGAAGTCTGTCACCATCCTCCTCTCACAGCTTCACTGAAGAAAGCAGCAAATACTGGATCTTTGCTTTGATACTAACTGTGTTTAGTACAATACTGCTGAAACCAGCGTGGACTGACTCCAACCCTCTACTGACCTCAGAGTCTCCAGTCTGCAGTGTGGACTCTCCACAAGATCAGACAGCAGCTTCACTCCTGAATCCTGCAGTTTGTTTTCTCTCAGCTCCAGCTCTCTCAGATGGGAGGGGTTGGACTTCAGAGCTGAGACCAGATAATCACAGCTGATCTCTGACAAACTGCAGTGACTCAATCTGAATGAAGAATAAAAGATGAAAGTTTAGAAGACAATGTTCCTGCTTGAAATCATTCAGTCTTTAATAATCTGTTCAGGGTTGAAGAAGGTTCAGAATGTGGAAGTTTAGAAAATGGAAACTCCAAACACCTGAACCCAACGGCAGGTTGAAAACTGTAAAATACAGAATGGTAAAAAGAGCTCTCATTAATATTAATGACAACGTGCCGCTGCTTCAATAAAGACGTAGTGACGTCAGCTCTTGACCTCTGCCAGCTCCACCAGTGGCTCCATCTATACAAACTCATGTTGTGCAGCCAAACACAAATAAAAGCACACAGAAACTGATTTAAGATTCAACTGAAGATCATAAAGCTGTCAAATATGTCAGGATGAATTTTGGGGAAATTTGAACAAAAGGCATCTACAATCATTATTTTAGGAATAGTGGAGTTATAAAATCAAAGAATCTTCAGTTTAAACTATTCAGTCAGTATAAACATCATATAGCTTCATTAAAATGTTGGAAAAGGCAAATACTGAATATTTGTATATTTGTTATTGTCTGATAGTTGAAGTAGAGATTATTAATTTATACTGTATTTATGTAAACGCTTGGTGTGCTTTATAAAATGAAAATCAAGAGGTTCAGAGTGAATTATCCAGTGTAGATTTTTTTGTTATATTCAGGTTTTAAATGTGGAGCTCAACATTGCTCTGCCACAGTCAATGGACTAAACCACTGAAGAAGAAAACAGACTTTAGCATTAAGATACTCAGTGTGGATCAGTATAATATCAGCCTCATGTCTGCACTTTACTGTCACCACAACTTTCACATCATATTAATCTCAGCACAGAAGGAAAAAATGGTGTCTGACCCCAGAGTCTCCAGTCTACAGTGTGGACTCTCCAGAAAACCACACAGCAGCTTCACTCCTGAATCCTGCAGATTGTTGTGACTCAGCTCCAGCTCTCTCAGATGGGAGGGGTTGAACTTCAAAGCTGAGACCAGATTATCACAGCTGATCTCTGACAAACTGCAGTCCCTCAATCTGAATAAAGAATAAATTAGGAAGATAAAAATAATTTATAATCCAATCAGATGTTTTCAGGTTTTCAATGTGTAGCTCAACATTACTACACTGAACAAAATTATTAATGCAACACTTTTGTTTTTGCCCCCATTCATCATGAGCTGAACTCAAAGATCTTTTAACTTTCTCTATGTACACAAAAGGCCTATTTCTCTCAAATATTGTTCACAAATCTGTCAAAATCTGTGTTAATGAGCACTCCTCCTTTGCTGAGATAATCCATCCACCTCACAGGTGTGGCATATCAAGAGGCTGATCAGACAGCATGGGTGTTGCACAGGTGTGCCTTAGGCTGGCCACAATAAAAGGCCACTCGAAAATGTGAACACTGATCAATAACAGGTCTGTAATTAGAGGATGGACTATATTGATCCTTTAAACAGCTGCATTTGGAAATATGCTTTGATCTGTATCTCTATGTATGTGTCTGTGTTCTGATGGATCAATATCAATGATCAGACATTATTTGTAAAAACACATTGAAATCAACAGAAACTAAGGAAACATTTTTACTTCAGCAAGTAAACTTGGTCAATTTAAAACTAAATTAACATGTAAGATGTAATTAAAAGATATAAAAAGCTTTTCAAGGATGTGAAACATAAAATACAACATTTTCAGCAAACATTCATGCATAGCTATGTTTTAAATCATAAACTGAACAAAAATAAAGAAACAGGAACATCATTATGACACGTGCAAAGGTTTGGGTACAACATTGTCAGTACTTCGTAACCCCCTGGCAGATAACACAGCTTGCAAAAAATGTTTGGAGCCAGACAGAAGTCTATCAGTTCTTGTATTACGGATCCTGTTGTAGAAACATGATGTTTGCTTCCAGAATTTGCAGGTATTAAGTAGAATACATTCTTCCCTCCACCCGTGCAATGTTTCCTGTGCCACTGGCTGCAACACAGCCCCACATCATAATAGTTCCAACCCCATGCTCAACAGTTAGCAAGGTGTGCTTTTCATGAAATGCTGCTCCTTTTTTGCTCCCAACATAACTTTGCTGATTGTGGCCAAAGAGTTCGATTTTGACATCATCAGTCCACAGCACTTGTTTCCAAAACACATCAGGCTTCTGTACATGTTCAGTTGTATACTTCTGATGTCTGCTAAATCTTTCTTCAGGTTTTTTGCATTCAGATGTGGACAATACTGCTGAAACCAGCATGGACAGACTCCAACCCTCTACTGACCTCAGAGTCCTCAGAGTCTTCACAAGATCACACAACCGCTTCACTCCTGAATCCTGCAGATTGTTGTTACCCAGGTTCAGCTCTCTCAGATGGGAGGGGTTGGACTTCAGAGCTGAGACCAGATAATCACAGCTGATCTCTGACAACCTGCAGTACCTCAATCTAAATAAAAAATAAATGATGTAACTTTAGAACCACGATGAAGAAACCAGACTTAAGGATTAAGATATATATTAAGATAGGATCAGTATAATATCAGCCTTATGTCTGCAGTTTAGTTTCACTCCAACTGTCGCATCATATATTAATTTTAGCACAGAACTAAAAAAATTGTGTCTGACCTCAGAGTCTCCAGTCTACAGTGTGGACTCTCCAGAAAACCACACAGCAGCTTCACTCCTGAATCCTGCAGCTCATTGTTAATCAACTCCAGCTCTCTGAGATGGGAGGGGTTGGACTTCAGAGCTGAGACCAGATAATCACAGCTGATCTCTGACAACCAGCACTCACGCAATCTGAATAAAGAATAAATGATGTAGATAAAAATCAATTTATAATCCAATCAGATGTGTTTAGGTTTTAAATATGTAGCTCAATATTACTATGTCCTAATCAATGAGCTTTTCTCTAAACTGAGTAGAGTGTCTTTGTCATTGTATTATTGTGGATCATCATAATGACATCCTTCTACAGACATCACCACAACATTCATACACATTTTTTTTTTTAGTATTTTTTGGGGCTTTTGCCTTTATGATAGTGACAGCTAAAGACAGACAGGAAAGGGGGGCAGAGAGAGGGGATGACACGCAGTTAAGGGCCGCAGGTCAGACCCGAACCGTGGGCCACTGCAGCAAGGACTCAGCCTTGGTACATGGGTCGCCAGCTCTACCCACTGAGCTAACCGGGTGCCTATTCATACACCTTTTCATATCAAAACTGAATCAACACAATAACATGCTGCTGATCTCAATCAAATCTGTAATAATGATCAAATTAAACATGTTGTTACTTTTGTTACTTTTATTTTCTTCTGTTCCAATTCATAACAATCGTGTGTAATTTTATGAAAAATACTAAGACAGGTGTTTTTATACAGAATACCAAAAGGGCACATTATTTCTCACATAAAATCATTTCAGAAACATATATTATTGTTAAACATATTTGTAATACGGCCAGAAAACAGCCAAAACTCCAAACTCGAGGCTTTAAAACAGTTCTCCATAAACCAATAGGTTCACACTTGGTCTCACATTTAACAATAAAATATTATAAATAAATAAGATGGATAAATATTAATTTACTTTTGCAGCAGTTTGTCTAATAACATGAATCCAGCCCCAACTCTAAATGACAAACTTAGTCACATTAGTCCTGTACAACATAAAACCTGGTAATATGACTAATACCACCAACTAACTAATTATACTTTACTGACATAACATCAGGCTGTAAATATAACATAAAGTCATTTATAAACTGCAATACCTCATAAACTGAAGGCAAAAGTGGACAAACATAAACTGGCAACCCCTAATACCCCATGGCTTGAAACTACAAGAAGGCTGACCACTGCAGCTGCAGTATACGTTAAAGATATCAGGCATTTCTATATAATCTAGAAAACGCAATAAGGGGTGGAGAAAATTTAAAAAGAACTAGTTTTTGATATATATATTGAAAGCTATACAATATACAGGTTTGAATGGGGATCTTGACTTCTCTACTTTTCTGTAACTGTCCAATCATGTTTTTCACGTCTTGTGTCTTTAGGCACTTGAGGCCTTTGAAAATGATTTTCACCTTCTTGTCTGGATGTAGTAAAAATGGTTTACCTAGCTGAACATGGTCTATCATCACTTTAAGTGTGTTAAAAGTGTTTAAAATTTGCTAGATAAACACTGTACAAGAGCAAAATACATGAACTGACCTCAGAGTCTCCAGTCTACAGTTTTTACTCTTCAGTCCAGCACACAACAGCTTCACATCTGAATCCTGCAGCTTGTTTTTACTCAGGTCCAGCACTCTCAGATGGGAGGGGTTGGACTTCAGAGCTGAGGCCACAACTGCACAGTGAGTCTCTGAGAGTCTACAGCCAGAAAGTCTGTGATGACAGAGAATATAAAACTTAAAGCAGCTGCAAGGAACTTTCATTTGTGTTGATTATTTTGCCCCCTGTGGTCCTGTTTCCACCACCTAATTTCATTGATTTCAAGGGGAATACAACTGAATCGGACCCCGTGGCAGGCATAAAGAACAAAGGGAGCAAAGCTTGCGAGCTACTTCAGGCAGTCAACTAGAGCTTCGCTGAGATATACACATGACATGGCTCACTCCATAATCACTAACCAAGCACACCCTTCCAATCTGTCTAATTAAACTGCACAATTTCTCTGTCAATGCCGCTGTTGCTCTGCATCCCTATTGCTGCCTGCTGCGCTGTAAGCCCCACCAGCACCCCAGCATCCATCTGTAGGCTCCGGCTAGGGGTTTACGGTATTTGTGTGACAAGTTGTATATAACAATTTATTCACACATACAATTTATTTTGAGTTAAACATAATTCATTTGAAAAGCTAATTTCAGTTTGATATTATCACAGTTACTATAGTATCTATTTTTAGAATATGTAATTTCATTTATGGTAGTTGTGAATGTATATGAAGACTATGCAACAAGTGAGTAATGCCAAGAAGAGGAATGCAGATAGGTAATTCAGATCCTTATCTGTGTGGTTTAATGGTTCGTTGATCTGTTGGTAATGCCTCAGGCCTTTTGCATGGAAAAGACGTTTTGTTGGACTTATTTGTTGTTGAATTTCTTGCTAACTCAGACGTGTTAAGCTACCAGCCGGATACCTCGTGGTCACGCTGTAGAGTCTGAATGTTGACATTGGTGTTTAAGCTTGTTACTGTTTCATATATATTAATATATTTGTGTCTAATTCATGTCATAACGACGAAAATCAATAACTCAACAAGTTAAAAATACATTTCATCATTCAAATGTCCCATGATAACTTAGCTTGTAAAAGTATAATTTGCATGTCGTGTTTATTTGGTTTAAACAATGTTAAAAAGACACTCATGATATTTGTGGCCCTAAAACTGAGTGTCCATTGTTTGTATGCATTGTTTCAAATAAGATTCAATACAGACGAGTGAAGGAAAGAGCTGCGTGTGTGTTTTCCTCATCCTTCTCCCGTTACTATTTAAGGGCACAACATTTGCTCATTACTCCCCAATATCTCTATGTAAACATATCTGCGGGGAATGATGAGGACGCCAAATCTAAATATGCTATATTGTTGTAGTAAACATTTCAAACATGAGTTGTCTGACTGAATTATAGATAGTGTATAAATAGAGACAGTCCGTCGTACGACACAGCCTAGAATCTGCATACATATATAATAATACAATAGCATTAATTGCAATAAAGTGATACAGAAAAACCCTGAACTTCAAGTGATATTAGTTCCAGCTGACCAGAGACATTGCACGTGTCTGTATATAAAAATAACAATAAACAGACACATTATAGAAAAACATAGTGCAGACACTGTATATATTATAAAAAGACTGTTAAAATTATTTTAGCACAAACTCTTAAGTCCTCAAGCTTTTCTGATGGATTTCTATCAAACCTCCATCACCCAAAGAAAGATAAAATATGATAGAATACACACAAAAATAGTTGTAGTTTATCAACTTTTTATTTTTTATTTATGTATAATTACTTCAATAAGCAGGTTTAATACTAATATAATGTATAGAGGTTTTATATAGTTGTATGTGTGTATCTTTACTCCAATACTGATGGCTTCAGCTTTATGTTGCTTTATAATATTAATCACATCTGGACTTACTGAGCCTTTCTGCAGTTCCTCACAGCTGGAATCAGTCTCAGTTTTCCCTTCACTGATGTGTTGAACTTCTGCAGGTCCAACTCATCCAGAACCTCCTCTGACATCTGCAGCATGTAGGCCAGAGCTGAGCAGTGGATCTCAGAGAGTTCCTTCTCTGATCTGTTCTCTGACTTCAGGAACTCTTGGATCTCCTGATGGACTGAGTGGTCGTTCATCTCCATCAGACAGTGGAAGATGTTGATGCTTCTGTCAGGAGAGATATCATCACTGTTCATCTTCTTCAGGTTGTTGATGGCTCTCTGGATAGTTTCTGGACTGTTGTCTATCTGACCCAGCAGGCCTCCTAAGAGTCTGTGGTTGGACTCCAGAGAGAGGCCATGAAGGAAGCGAACAAACAGGTCCAGGTGGCCATTTTTACTTTCAAGGGATTTCTCCATGGCTTTCCAAAGGAAGACATTCAGGGATGAATGAACATTTTGACCCACACAGTCCTCCAGAACGTCAGTGTTCCTGTTGGTGTAACAGTGGAACATGTAGACTGCAGCTAGAAACTCCTGAATGCTCAGATGAACAAAGCAGTAGACTGTTTTCTGGAAGATCACACTCTCTTTTTTGAAGATCTCTGTACAAACTCCTGAGTACACCGAGGCCTCCGTGACATCAAGACCACACTGCTCCAGGTCTTCTTGGTAGAACATGATGTTTCCTTTCTCCAGCTGTTCAAACGCCAGCCTCCCCAGCTTCAGAAGAACTTCCCTGTCAGCCTCCATCAGCTCCTGTGGACTCTTCTTATGTCCCTCATCATACTTCTGCTTCTTCCTCTTTGTCTGAACCAGCAGGAAGTGTGAGTACATGTCAGTCAGGGTCTTGGGCAGCTCTCCTCTCTGGTCTGTAGTCAACATGTGGTCCAGAACTGTAGCAGTGATCCAGCAGAAGACTGGGATTAGACACATGATGTGGAGGCTCCTGGAAGTCTTGACGTGTGAGATGATTCTGCTGGACAGATCTTCATCACTAACTCTCCTCCTGAAGTACTCCTCCTTCTGGGCATCAGTGAAGCCTTGTACTTCTGTTACCCTGTCAACACATTCAGGAGGGATCTGATTGGCTGCTGCAGGTCTGGAAGTTATCCAGACGAGAGCCGAGGGAAGCAGATTCCCCTTGATGAGGTTTGTTAACAGCACATTGACTGAATACTTCTGTGTGACGTCAGACACAACCTCCTTGTTGTGGAAATCCAGTGAAAGTCTGCTTTCATCCAGGCCGTCAAAGATGAACAAAAGTTTACAGAGAGTGAGCTGCTCTGCTGTGACCTTCTGTAATGTTGGATGGAAAACATGGAGCAGCCTGAGAAGACTGAACTGCTCATCTTTGATCAGGTTCAGCTCCCTGAACGAAAGCAGAACCACCAGAGTGACATCTTGGTTTTCCAAGCCCTCTGCCCAGTCCAGAGTGAACTTCTGCACTGAGAAGGTTTTTCCAACGCCAGCGACGCCGTTCGTCAGAACCACTCTGATGTGTCTCTGTTGGTCAGGTAAGGTTTTAAAGATCTCGTGGCACTTGATTGGAGTGTCATGGAGGGTCTTCTTCTTGGGAGCTGTCTCAAGCTGCATCACCTCATGTACGGTATTAACATCTTCACTCTGTCCCTCTGTGACGTAGAGCTCAGTGTAGATCCTGTTGAGGAGGGTTCCACTTCCTGTTTCATCAGTTCCTTCAGTCACATGTTTACACCTCGTCTGCAGACTGATCTTATGTTCATCTAAAACCTCCTGCAGACCACCACTCACTAAAAAAGACAAAAAAGTTTGAGTCAAAGATTTGAAAATCTGCTGATTATTTTTTTATTACCAATAAAAAGATAAATATATATAAATATAAACAGAAGTAAACCTTATAAAGTCCAGTTTTGAGGGAACATCAGAAAATGTTATTCTGCAGTTCCTATGTCGGCCTGGTTTTCTTTTAATTAAGAACGGGATAAGAATGTAATATTTTAAATAAAACTACATTTTGTTTCTAGAGCAGCAACTGTAATGTTTACAACAGCAAAGTCAATATAAGAACTCAATAATATCTCACTGTATACAAATCTAAAATGTCAATAAAATTATATAACATATTAATAATAAATAAATATTCCTGACATCAAAATACTGAATGATGGTTAGAGTATCTGTTATTTATTGTCTCACTCTGATGTGAAACTCTTCTGGTTTGTCTCAGCCAGCAGCTCAGTTGAAAACAAGAATTTGCCAGATTTTAAGATACATGGCAAACTAAACTAAACACACAGCTTTTATTTTGGTAGCAATTCACTATTGACTGAGCTCAGCCCTGTGCTTGTGTAAAACATAGCGGAGGTGGATGATTGAAAGCGGACAGAGCAGATATCACTTCTACAAGTTTTTACTTGTTGCACAGTGTACTGATAAAGTGTTGGCTTTTTACTATCAACAATTTTATTGCTTGATTTATTATTTTATTGACTTCCAGTAACAAGCGTAGTTGTCGTCAAGTGTCTTCACACAGATGTGGTTTTGGTTTTAGGGAGGAGACCATCTCAGGTCAGCCTGTTAATAATCACTAGGTCAGACAGTCACTCGTGTAGCAGCGTTTTTTTGGAGCTGTGATGCCAGGAAGCATATTTTCACTCATGTCACAAAAACCTCTGTGCCACATGTAAGTTAGCACAATATGCTGAAGGATTTTAGTGTTACTCACTGTGTGGTTATGTACATTATTACACAGTGTTTCTGAGTGATAATTTTAGCTCAGAGCCTGTTCCTCAGCCAGGAGGCTCTTGTCATCTCATGCCTAAACTACTGCAACTCACTCCTGTCTGCCTGCATGTGCCATCGGACCTCTGCAGCTCATCCAGAACGCAGCAGCTCAGCTGGTCTTCAACCTACTGAAGTTCTCCCACACTACACTGCTCCTCCACACCCTGCACTGGCTACTGGTGGCTGATTGAGTCAGATTCAAGTCACTGTGCTACCAATGGTTGAAGCTCATCATACATCCAGGACTCGTAGCAGTTGAGCTTATTTGATGAAGTTGATGTAGTTACATGATTCATGCAATTTTTGGGTTGTATCCACATGGTTGAATGAATTTATTGTAAGTCTCTAAATAAACGTAATGTAATGAAATGCAGCAGGTTTCATTAAGATTAGATTAAGATGTACAGTCTTACTTTGTACAGAACTGGTCTGACTGGCTGTCTGCAGTCCAGCTCTTTTTCTGGATCTTTCTCCACACTGGGGACAGGAGGAGTCTCCTGATGAAGCAGACTGGTCCCAGTATGAGGTGATGCATTGTCTGCAGAACCAGTGTCCACAGCTGTTAGAGACTGGATCCTTCAGGACGTCCTGACACAAAACACAGCAGGACAGCTGCTCCTCGATAGAAACATGACTCCTCTTCCTCTCTCTGTGAAGACATTTCTTTATTACTAAATTGATTTGTTGATTGTTGATGAAAAATACTGAGATTTGTCCCACACTGTCTGGAAGCTCAGATGGTCACAGAGAACATTAAAAGTGTTCTTTTCTGTTTGGATTCAGCATTCAGCATTCAGTCTGTAATGAAAATGATTCCTTTTATTTCAACTCTCCTGCTTTCATAAACACTGAGTGCTTTACCTATCTGTCTGTCTTATTAAACATTTATTGATCTGCCTATAGTTTGTTATTAATACAAACTCAACACTTCGTGCAGCTGTTTCACAATAAAAGCCTTCCATTAAAGAGAGCTGATCATGTCCTTCACTGTTCTACAGTCACTTTGGGCAGATTTGCCCGTGTGAGATTAAACTGAGGTTAGAAGTGCTCTAAATATATATATATATATATATGTGTGTGTGTGAATATTATTATATTATATATGAAATATAAATCTTGAAACAATGTTTTGTTAAAGAACAGTGTCTGCAATAGTTCTGCTTCATGGAAATAGATCTACTTTGTCTTCATGCTCAATGAATCATCTTCCATCAGGTCACAACAGTTCTCTTACTTTATGTCTGAGGGTCCAGGTTCATTACTGAAGTTCAGAGGAATATGTTTTGACCAATCACTCTTCATAGACAGACAGCTAGACACTGGAGACTCTGCTCTGTCCTCCTCTTTGTCTACAAATACACTCATCTTCTGGACTTCAGTTAGTCTGAGACAATAACACTGACTGAGTTCAGAGCACAAGAATCAAGAAAAACAGGTTTGTTCAACAGTCATACGCCAGACTAGGGAGAAGTGAGGGGGTGGTGGCGAAAACATGAGTTCAAAAATCCACTTACTGAAGTTTTAAAGCTTTCAGCTGCAAGCTCCAGATCATTTAACACAAGTAATCAGTTAAAGAGTAAAATTAGAGAATCAGGACACAGAATCAAGGTGAGTAAAGCTTTTAAGTAAACAATAAGTAATTAATTATTAATTAATTCAATAATTAGTAAAATTACTTTTTCATCCAAACAAGAAAATATTTTCAGGATTAATATGAGAAAAATAATTACACATTAGAAAAAGATTCTTTCAGACATGGAATAGTTACAAATATTTACAGTGACTTCAATATATAATATATATATTATATCATATATGAAATATAAATTCTGAAACGGAGGTTCTCAAGTGTTTTGCTAAAGAAATAAAATAAGATACATTTTAGTTTGAAATAGTGTCTGCACTAATAGTTCTGCATCACAAAAATAAATCTATTTTATCTTCATGCACAATGAATCTTCTTCCATCAGGTCAGTTTACAGTAAAAACTGTTTCTTACTTTGTGTCTGAGGGTCTAGGTTCATTACTGAAGAATGGAGGCTCATCTTTGGAGTAATCACTCTTCATAGACAGACAGCTGGACACTGGAGACTCTGCTCTGTCCTCCTCTTCCTCCACACAAACACTCATCTTCCTTCAATCAGTCAGTCTGAGAGATAAAATAATAACACTGACTCAAAACAGAAGAATCAGGAAAAACAGGTTTGTTCAAGAGTGACACGCGGGACTGATAGTACAAGCAGTAACACACAGAGCCGTTTCTTGCTATATGCGGACTATGCGGCTGCACAGGGTCCCGCAGCTACCAGGGGGCCCCCAAACTGCAAGTTCAGCCTCATATTTTATTATATTTTGGAGAATTAAAAGTACCTGTCTTTATTTGCATGTATTGCATGCATTCATTATGCATTTATTTGCAAAGCATGTAAGTGTTAAGGGTAATCAGGTCAAAATCACCTTTGGGCTGGGCCGTCACGTGGTAAGTGACGTGCAACGACAGGTCTGACGGGATGATTGACAGCCGCCCACCTTCCACTGAAGTGACGAGAATAACCGTAGACGCTGATTACAATGTCATCGAAACGTACTTACGCGTCTGATGCAGAGAAACGCAAAAAGAAGAAAACAGATGAAGAAAAACGATCACAGGATAAAGGTAAGGCATTTGATGTGGGGGGGAGGGGGACACATCATGCCAACTTTTGAACAAGTTAGTTTGCTACTTTTGTAGACCGCATCAGACCAGGTGCTGAAAAAAGTGTGAAATGTGTCTTTATTGAGTTAATAGAATAAAGGTTTCACAAATCAGAGACTGTGTTTTTATGAATCTTCAGGGTCTGTACATTAATCCAGTCCAGATTTGAGAGGTCTAGGTACAGTGGTTTTTGATCTGGACCTGGTCTAATGAGGTCTTGGTGTAAAACAAAAACGGTGAAATCTCCCCTTTAGCATTTTCACAAATAAAATAAAAGTCTCACAGATACAATCGTAGGTGTCAGGCAAAGCTGATGTCTTACCTAAAATGTCTAAAACGTTTTCACATCAAGAAGTGTCACAAAAAACAGACAATCAGTGGACAAACAGTCGCACTGCACAACAAGTTAATTTCCCCTTAACTTTCCCCTTAAGTGCCGAATCGGAGGCTGGCGAATCGGAAGCCAATTTAAAGAAATGTGTCTCAAGCATAGACCTGTGCTACTATTTTATAAATAAAACCAATTATTATCAGACTGATTACTGTAACTTTAGTTCCAATTCTTTACTTAATTGTATTTTTATTTACTGTGGTTTGGTTACTGGACAAATCTGCTGACTTAGTTGAATTCCCCTTGCCAAATTTACTAGAATATATATTGTGACAATGTAGTTTACTAATTTGAACAAACCTGTACATTTAAAGTGTCCTGTACTGCATAGGACTGCTAGTTGTCCACTTTGTAATGCACTGCAAGATATATGCATATACATATTCCTTTTATATCATATGGTGCTCATCACTCATTTACCTTCATTTTTATTAATTAACTAGTATAATGTGGAGATAAACACAGAAAAAAACTGGTAGATGCTTAAACAGGGACACTGTTTATTGTATATTATTGTAATATAAAAACAGATTCAGAATGTTAGTGTAGTAGTGCAACACAGCTGCAGTTATATGATATGAATATTTGCTTCTGATTGCTTGGTAACCTAAGGAGCTTTGTCTTTGCAGGAGCAATTTCCTACTTCAGAGGTCCAGTTCAAGGAGAGCCAGGGGGACCTTCATCAGCTTCTGACCAGAAAGCAGAAATTTTGAGGAGGAGGACTGTGATCATACAGATCCTCATCACAAAGTAGTGATGTTGTACAGTTACAATACTACAATACATACTACTATATGTAACTACATAACTAGTTTTTTTATTGATTTTTTATTGATTGTGCAATAACATGGATGCTGGTCCATTATACTTATTTATTTAAGTAAGTTTAGTTATTTATTTTTTACTGTTTTGGAATGGTGGGTTAAAGCTTTTTTATGTTATGCCACCTTGTTATGCCACCAAGTTTAGATTAAACATTTTTCAAGAACATACTGTATCTGTTCATTTATTAATGTACTCTAGCCTGCTTTCCTCTTAAAATGTAACAGACTGCTGCATCATCACAGAATATATGAAAAAGTTAGGAATCTCTACCTCAGAGTTTGAAAAAGTAGGGGCCCCCAAATAGTACCTCGCATAGGGCCCTCAAACAGCTAGAAACGGTCCTGGTAACACACACACACACACACACACACACACACACACACATACAGAGTACTCTGTATAGTATAGATAGAGTATAGAGTATACAATATAATATAGAACTCCACCTGGTCACTTTTCTTTAAACCTGTACTTGTTTTCTTGGGTTACAGTAGGTTTAATCTGGATTATTCAGTCAATCACAACTTTGTATCCACAGATGAATCAAACTGTTGAGTTCATTCTAACATTTCTGTCCTCTACAGTCCACAGGAAGAAAACTGACTCAGAGACTTTATTCATAAAATAATAATAATGTTGTATTAACACTCACCCTGCCTCAGCCTTTAGTTTTCCTCCTTCTGCTCTGTCGACTCAAAATGGAGACTGAACACTTCCACTTTCAGGGTTCCCTCCCTCTTCTCATGAACCTGGATCACCTGTGTGTGTGTGTGTGTGTGTGTGTGATGCTCACACAGATAAACTGTTCAACATGATGTGTTCATGAGCGTCTCTTGGCTTGAAAACACAATGAAATGGAGTTTTGATCAAAATGTTGGCAAATATGATGTTGTGTTTAAGTTACAACTAAAGAGCTGTAAACAAAATTACATAAATGTTTTCTTTTAACGACTAATAGACATATATGTATTCATGGGGTGGCATGGAGACTTTAAGGGGTGGCAGAAATGCTGATTTAAGTTGTGAGTAGTAATGTAAGTGTGTGTAAGTGCACCTCTATTGATGTGTATCTGACTTAAACCTTCATCTGACTATAGTGAGAGACCACAAACTCCCACTGAAGGTACCCAGAATGGTGACACAGACTCAAAGAAAGCAAAGAGAATTTACAGTTTCACTCCATAGCATGAACATAAAATATTACTCTGTAAGCCTGTAAAATTAAACATGGAATAACACAACATAATATAGTTTGCTTCATGTTCACAGAACCTTATTCCTCAATGCATTTTCCCACTACATTAAGGAGCTGGTTGTGGACCTGAGGAAGGCCTCGACTCCACTGACCCCTGTTTCCATCCAGGGGGTCAGGGTAGACACTGTGGAGGATTACAAGTACCTGGGAGTTTACACAGACAATAAACTGGACTGGGCTAAGAACACTCAAGCCCTCTACAGGAAGGGCCAAAGCTGTCTCTATTTTCTGAGGCGGCTGAGGTCCTTCAACATCTGCAGGACCACGCTGAGGATGTTCTATGAGTCAGTCAGTCAACTGGTGCTGCTAATGTGCTATAAGTTGATTAAGGGGCAATACCCGGATCAATGTGCAATACACTGGATTATTATGTTATTCTTGTAATTATTCAATCATTCTTTGTGATTATCTATAACACCACAATCTTAAACTCATTATTATTTATTTTCTGTCAGCACATACTGTGGAATATGTTTACATTTATATTTACTTTGTATACAGGCTCTTATTATCTTATTAGTATCTCTTAGGCTCTTACAATATTTCAATTTCCTTTTCTTCTCTTCCTATTACTTTTTACTTATAAGTATATACCTATACATACATTTCTATTCTATATATTGTGTGAGATATTGTAATATATGTATTATTTCTATCCTTTACCATGTGTGAGTAGAACAACTGTTACAAACAAATTTACATAATTTTTCGGAGTCTGTTCCCTGTGGATAGAAGCGGTATTTCCTTTGATCATTGATTTCAAGGTGAATCCAACTGAATCCAACCAAAACAGACGTACTGGCAGGCATTAAGAATAACTATATAGAAATAGTTTAACCTACTATGCAACAACTCCTTGCACAACCTATACCTTACAATAATTGCACATATACAGTTTAGTTATACACTATTATAGTGTTAAGCTTACTGAATACTGTATATAGTGTACATATTTTATATATTTTTATTATTCCTTATTGTATTTTTACACTTCTCTACTTATTGCACTCCATTTCCCCTGTGCTGCTGTGTCTGACTCCCATCCATAAAGGAACATCTTATCTTATCTTAGCCAATCTTTGCTTATGTACATTCCTCATCTTCTCGTTGTTGTTCAGTTGGAGTTGGTACAATACTCACCAGATAAATGACAAGTGATCAAACAACTGCTTAATGAATACAGCTTTATTATTATTATCCCCCATATTTTTTGCCATCATCACGAATATGCTTGTTTATATAATGTAACATGTCCTATAATATCAAAATACAATATATTCACAATGAGTAACTTCATTGAGAATTGGTGTTGATGTAGGTTTTACAATTCCATTTCCTCCATCTTTAAAAGTATTGAGCTGTTACAAGAGAATTAAAATATAAAAGCATATTTTAAAAAGATCTTTAAATGCTTTCATATCTGTTACACATTAGATTTAACTAATTTTTGTGAGACATATGAGGAGCAACGTGCTGTAAAATAATGGAAATCAAAGCAAATAATTTAATAATTGCAATATAAGGTTTGAATTACAGAATGAGTTCAATTCCACAAGGTAACCTTTTAATCAAATGATCAAGTGAATTAATTGATTAAGCTAAATACTTTTATTTTATTATTTCCACTTATTTAATTGTTCTAAAGCTATAAAATGCAATAACATAGGCAGCAAAGCAGATATATTATCAAAAACTGCTTTCTCTTGTGACTTGGAATTAGCAGTATGTTTGATATGATGATAAACGGCCCAGTCTGGTTGATCAGGTATTCAGCTCTGCCTCATCTGAGTGCTGTGACTGGTTACAGTGCACTGGAGTGGAAGTCTCCATGAATCCCTAGTTATCCTTGCAGCCTGTCTGATCTGTGGCCTTCATCCTGAACAGGTCGATTCCTTCATTGATCATCAGTTCTTTGGCATATCGCACGGTCTCTGGAGGCAGGAAGCGGGACCGGCCGAGGATCCAGGCATAGTCGATATGGAATATGCGGAGGATGTCGGTGCAAGAGTACACAACGGACAGGCTGGTGTAGTCAGTGGTCAGAATCCAGTAGGGGCTATAAGGAGTAACTGGGAGCAAAGATCACATAGACATAAGAGAAAGAGATGATGATTGTAATGTAACTGTACATCATATTCCACCACATATAAAAGCAGAGTTTATAAATGAATTTTAAAAAAGAAACACAGTATACTAAAAAGTGTAAAACAGAGACATCAGAGTAAGATTAAAATCAAAACCTGGAATGAAAAATGTAAATAGTAAGAAAATTACAGAGAAAAGAGCGTTTATGTGGGGAAAAATATCACATTTCCTTTTAGATCACAGTTTAAATAAATGCAAGTATCATCTGCATACTGATGAACAGTAACACTATAACGTCTCTAGCCATACTACCTAAAAGCTAATGTCAGTATGCTAAGATTCTCACATTGACAATGCTATCATGCCAATGCTAATGTATATCATCTTCACCATCTTAGTGTAGCATGTTAGCTTGCTAACATTTGCTAATTAGCATTAGCTGTGGCTGATAGGAATTTTATTGGTTTTCCAGGTATTTGGTCATTAACCAAATAAAGATTTGGCCTGAGGAAGGCAGCGTGAAGGGTTAGTTATTACTATTCAGGGGAACATGAATGTCTGTAGCACCAACGTTTATGGTAATCTATCCAATAGTTGAGACATTTCTTCAGTATTATCAAAGACAGTATCGATATCAGTATCAAATATTATGGCAGTTTGTCCAATAGTGAGAGATGAGATAATCCTGTTTGGACTGAAGGGGAGTAACTGACCAACATTGCTGTCCCTAGAGCCTGCCTGAGAGGTCAGACTTGAACCTGGTCACCTTAACAGCTGCGCCAGTAATGTTACGCTCAAGTTGACTAAAAAGGACATAAACATCTACTGATGAGTATGTGGACCAGAACAGATGATTCACAGACAGACAGACTGACATTGTTATTGACATCACAAATGCTGCTGCATCATGTGTCAGCTGATACATCATCATTCAAAAGCTATGTGTGTTCTTTAAACAGCAAGAACTCTCATTTCTGTTCAATGTTATGTCTACAATGTTATAAGGTATGAAGGAGATTAGGAATGAATAAAAATGACAGAAGCAACAAATAGAGGATAAGGATGAAGACGAGTACTTACAGTATGAGAAGCTGACTCCAAGTTTGGCAGGTTCTCTTGGGTCTTGAATCACTGCTGTCCCTTCTGCTGGCCTCACTTTGTCTTTACTGAGAGAGACAGAGAAACAATTCAGTTTTAACTTTATTAAACTAATATGAAGGATACACCAAATCAGCAGAGCTACACGCTGTGTTTGAGTGAGGAACAAACAAAATAGTGACAGTGAGAATTCAAGTCTGGGTTGCATAGTGTATAAGGCCAAAGTTGGTTGAGTCCTCCAGTCTTTCCTGAGGTGTGCCACCACCACGCCATCAGTCTGTATTGTTCAGTGTCTATATACTTATCTAATAATTAATTCTGTATTGGTTCTTGCAAGCAAAATGAACTTTCATACTTGCTTGTAACCCTTCATTGTGTGTCATTATGATCCAATCCACATTTTCACCTACTTTATTTACTGATTAGTTGTGTTACTGTCCTGTAACAATACAGGACAGTAACACAACTAATCAGTTTTCGGCTTTGCAAAGGAGAATGAATCGATTTGAAGACCAGAATGGACAAACAGAGTAAGTCGTGTCTATTGAAATGGGACTACTCGCCCTAACCCAAACAATCATAATCTAATCTGCATTCCGGCCCTCAGTAGCACCGGCCTTGGCCAAGGAACAACTCCTCCAGGAGATCGCTGCAGTCGCTCTGCCCTATTCCTCCCTCCCTTCCCACACGGACACCTGTTGATAGTTGACTCTGTTTAGGACCCGATCAGGGACGTCTCCATGGCAACCTGCTGTGTTATCACGATGACGCCATGTGAACTGAGGCACTGATTGAGAGGCTAGACGAAGCGACTCTCCAGGCTTATGTGCACACACGCACCCTGGTAGGTGGAATTTGTTACCTCTGGACAACGCCATGCTAGCTGTTTCCCCTCATTTCCAGTCTTTATGCTAAGCTAAGCTAACTTAGCTGCTGGCTCTAGCTTCACATTTACTGTAGAGATAAGTAAATGCAGTTCCCAATCTGTCAAACTATTTCTTTAACAGAGCCCAGAGAAATTAGATGTAAACGATGTACACAACTGGTGTCTTTGTTTCCCACGCAAAATCTCTGACACTGAGCAAACAAATCAAATGTTCCTTCAAGTCAAAATCAACAATAAAAATCCCTCAGTACTCACTAGAACTGGGTGTTTAACACCCGGATGGTTCCATCTTTCCTTATGGCGTAGTTGGCCTCGATGCACTTTCCTCTCTCGAAAGAAGCAGGGAGCTTCTCGATCTCGTACCACCTACCCAGGTACTGTTAACAGAAAGGCCCCTTTAGTTCTGTGTAGTTCAGAGCACAGTGCGTATGAATGAGTGTTTTTATGTGTTCACCTGTTCCACGTTGAAGCCGGGCTGCACCTTAGGAGTAGGACAGGGACCCCAGTGATAGGTCTGAGCTGACACCAGAGGGAGCAGCAGCAGGAGGAAGTAGACGGCAGACATTGTTCCTTCAGGAGAGGACGGAAGATTATAGAAGCTGAAATGAAAGAATTCACATCAAAGTCTGTTTACAGGAAAAGAAGTAGCTTTAGGTAAAAGTAGCAAAACCATAATGTAGGAATACTCTCTTACAGGTAAAAGTAAAGAAATACAGTATACTTAAGGTCTGTAATTATTAGGCAGAATGTTCCATTTCAGAATAATATATAATACATCAGTTTAATATTGCAGCTGGTAAAAGTGGAGCTAGTTTTTATTTATTAATTTGATATATTCATATCATATATGTCATACATATTTGTTGATGCTAATGTAGTTTTTTAAATGGTCTAATTTGTATTATTTTAATGTTCATTATGGATTAATGTCAAATAAGGGTGGCGAATATTAGTAATATTAGTATTGCTGTGTGTTTATCACAGTTATTATAGTTTAGTTTTAGTCTTTATCAATTGGATCTAGAAACAAAAATGAATGACATGACATGTCTTTTCACCTCTGCTTTTAGTGATTACAGTCTAACTCCAGTCCATAGGGTGTTGGCATTCTACATGACATACCTGCAGGTATTTACATTTCAGCCTCTATTGTCCTCAGTAATGGTCGACTAGGAGTTCATGGTCTTGTGAAGTAAGATAGCTGAGCCAGAAAAGTCAGAAGAACAGTATGTAATCTTTTTTTTGCTTTGTTTTTTTTTTTTTTTTAACATCTATCCTTTAGTCTCTTTTCAAAACATCACAAGTTGCCACACCTGTTCTTCTGGTTTCACATAACTGCTTTGTACAGGCTTCAGAATTCTTTTATACAGAAGGACATACTACTGTCTGACAATAACAAAAACACAGTACCAGTTTCCCACGGGATTTCAGCCGAAAGGAGTTAAAGGTGTGAAAATAAAAATACAACATATAGTAAAATACTAATTTAGGAGAACAGAGGATAAAACCAAGTGGAAAACAAGTGGAAGTGGAAGAAATTGTTTAAAGTTTGAATTAAAATATTTTTTCCTGTTAATACTGCATATATATATATATATATATATATATATATATATATATATACACAATCCCCCTCATTCATAACATAAAACCTGTCTTACCCTCAGGTGTGCCGGAGCCAGGTGGAGGTCTGTCTGTCGCAGCTGCCGATGGGAAGTGTCTCGAGCTCTCCGCACAAACGCTGTGTTCACGTTCACGTTACGTGACTCTGGCAGCACGAGGCAGCTCGTTAGGTAAATTGTCATCATGCGCACATTCCCGCGTTGAGACAATGCGCACGCTGTGGTAAGGGTTCAGGGTTTTATTCATTCAGTTCCACACGTGTTTTTATTTTTAAGCACGCATTTAGTTACTCCTTTTTTATCAGAGTTTTATCAGAACAACGTTTTATAATTAAATTATTTACTTTTTTTCCTAAAAAATAAATATAATTTATAGCAACTTTTAAATGTGGCTATTCATTGATATTCATATTTATGTTGTATTGCTGATAAACTGATAAGTAGAACCTTTCATTGATGTTAAGCCCTATAAGTTTTATTTATCCAGCTACACTATTTTATGTCTTTTATTTTGTCATTTGTTTTATTTTACTGTTCTATGTAATTTTATTATATTTTAGTCATTTTATTCTATTTAATTCTCTGTATTTGCATTTGCTTGATTTTGCAGTTGTTCTCATTTAGTTTTTTCAACTGTAAAGCACCTTGCTGCACTGTTTTAAAGGGTGATTTAAATAAAGTGTATAATTAGTCTTATGTGACATACATTAGTGTACCACGCTGTTATTCTTGGTGCTACCAGCAGATGGCGCCACAGTAAAAAAGAAAGTCAAATTCAGTACATACAGTAACTTCAAATCATTCATATGTTGTTGATGTGTTGTCGTGTTTTGGGTCAAATTCTAACTTGTACTTGTACTTATCATGTATTTACTCATTATTTATTCAGTTTTATCTCTCAGTGTGATGTTTTAACAGCTGTTTCAAAGCCTTCACTGTACTGCCAGGAATATGACGTAATGTTATCTGTTCATATAAAAATTTAGACAAAGTAACATGTCAGAATCAGCTTCCAGGGAAAATCTTTCCTGGTTCCTCAAACCTTCACATTCCCAGAAACAACGCCCAGGACATGACCTCAGTGTCCTCAGCCCTGCTGACACATAAGAGGGTTTTTGTTTGCTTTTGCAATCCCCTTCATCCTGATGTCAACTTAAATTTACTTTTCTTCTGCAATATGTGCAAAAAGCTGTCAGCAGTATTAACCAACCCTAAAAACTGAGTTACGTTCCAGCCACTTTAGCCTCACACACTGATTGCAAACAGAAAGCTTGACTCTCAAATCTCCTGCATGTAAAAGTCCTTCCATGTCTCTTTTCAAATCCAAGAATTCCAGTTGGTATCTGCGTTTTAATTCACCAGAGAGAACAAACTTCACAGTTGAAGTATTTATTGAAAATTACTTCCAGGATCTTGATTGATCAACTGAAATTGGCCATTTTTTTTTTTTGGAATTCTTAAGCTGCTAAACATCAAACTTCTCTTGGAGGACACAACGTTGACAATGTATAACATTATTTTACATTTTAGAGATGCTAGGAAAAGGCCATTCTATACAGCAGGAATTCATTGATTTTTAAGACAACAAATCAAAATTGGTCAAACTTATGACCCATTATATAATTTACATTCACGCTACCAGTAATACTGCAATAGTTTTTATGTTTATTAACCTTGAAAATTGTTGTTTTTTTGAGGGGGTGGATGTGTTTGCTATATATTCCCGTAAAAACTAGACTAGAAGTCAAATTGGGAAAACAAATGACGTGTTCCCATCAGCCACACATTTATTTCAATTACTATTTTATGAGCATGTTTACTTTTCTATTACTGCAGGAAACTGAGCAACGGGCTGCTTTCACTACATCAATGTGACAGTAAAAATACTTGTGCAATTTGGCAGAGATTAAGAATAAGCTTTAATAAAGTCTTTCTAGAGCATAAAACAATGACACCAAACAGACAGAAGGATCTAATAAAGATTATTTATTTCCAGTGTTTGTTGAGGGAGGGCATTGCACCCATGTTTTGCTGTACACAGACGAGATGTTCACTGTTCAGAAAACATTGTCTCATGCAGTTTTAAAGTTAAGTTTGTTTGTTTGTTTTCTCCCAGGTTTTAAGCGCCCATGCATTTTACTGCACATTAAAAAAACGGGGCTGGGGGGATAAAAATGTAAAGTAAAACTAGAATGAAACATAGACACTGACATACATTTGAATACTCTGATGTTGCTGTGAGTTTAACTAAAAACAGGAAAGACCACAACACAAAACAAAACAAAAAAATTTGGAATGCCTGTGAGATTATTCTCCCCTAAAAATGCTTTAAAAATTCTTCTCGTCTTGACAACTGTTGGTCAAAACAGTTTGAAAAAAGAAAAGGAAAAAAAAGAGGCACTTTTTCTTTTTGAGATACAAACATGTGTAAAAACTTACTTTTTGGACTATAACTGGACAAAGTTTGGAAATAAAAACTACTGTACCAAGCATTACATACTATAGTATCAGCATTTCATTACGTTTTTTTCAGTCTTTATTTGATAAAACTATAATAATCCTCCAGTCCCTCAAGCTAATATCTGGCTGTTGTGACTGTACTGTGAAAAAACAAACTTCCCACAGCACCCAGCTCAGAAAGCAGCCCTCAGTTACATCCACATACTTCAAGTACAGGCAAGAAAAAAACACATACATAGTTTTTGAAAATGACAATATTGTCACAAGCAACTAGTGTTAGTCCAAAGAGAGTAATACATTCTTCATACCGCTTATAATAGGAAGAACTGAACCATGATTCCTTTAAAAAAGCCTCCTGCATTCTTCAGTAATAGTCAAGTTGACCCTTTTATAGTGCTGTATAACAATCCAGAGTCCATTTCTGTCCTTTTGAACATCACATATCAACAGCAAAGTCACAGTCTTGCATTAGTAGGGTTCGATCTCAGGAGCAGGAGGAAGTCCGAGTTTTTTATCCACGTCTGTTCCAGTATGGCCAACAAGTCAGTGGAATTACACACATAAACATCTCTTCAGCATTATTCCAGTAACAATCATGTAAGCCTATACACAGTATGTACAGTAGATACATAAAGTATACTTTGTAGAAAAAATATTGTGCAGTAACCTTAGCTAAAATACCCACATTCGTACATTTACGCATTCATTCCGTTGGTTTTAAAATCCGTACAAACACACTAGACAAGACCCCTCTTGCCGTTTCACAGATACTGGTAGAACCGTGAGCGGACAACTTGCGCTCCAGACAGTTTGTGTGGGTGAGCGTCTGCCCCGAGGCTGGCTTTGTTTTTGCCCTGCAGCCCGCTACCGTTAACGTGCTCCCCTGCTAGCGGCTGTGCACCCGGGGACGCAGAAGGAGGAGGTCTTTCCGGAGCTACGTCCTGGGCGTCTGCTTGATCATCCTCAGGAACGGCTTTGGGCGCAACCTCAACGCTCGAATCAGAGCCTCTGCACCGCTCTCTGGCAATCCAGTCTCGGATAGAGAAGTCCTGAGAGGAACATCTGGGCTTGAGGCGGTCCAGAGCAGACAGTTCGGCCGCCTGGTCCACGCCGCCCTGCTCCCTCCAGTCGTTGATGACCGCCAGCTCTGCGAAGTCTCTCTGCCCGCCCATGGTGTGCCTCCGACGGATGTTCTTCTTCTTCCCGCGAGCGTCTGGGGTTCGGTTCTTCTGGGTGAACATGTCGTCAGCAGACGTGCGTAACCTGAATTTGAGCCGCTCTGTGATCTTAAGGTGCCAGGCCGGTTCAGGGCGCTCCGACTCGCTGCGTGAGGACGAGCTGAGGCTGCTTGTGGACCGCCCTTTCTTCATCACCTCCAGGACTCGAGAGAGCCGCGTGGAAGACTCCGCTCTACCCTCGCTACGCTCCCCGCTCCCAGCAACACCTTCCACTGATGATTCACTGTCTGTTTTCTGTCTGAGGGACCACCTTCTGGAGAGGGTGTCACACTCGATCATCCTGTGCGAAGGGAAAAGCCGCCGTGCTTCCAGTTTCGGTGTGGTGCTCCCCTCAGCCGCTCCACCTCCTCTCGGTTCGCTCTTTTCCAGACTCTGCTCTGGGCAGGGCGTAGACTGGCTGCTGCCACCGCCCGGGGCAAAAACCGGGAAGTCACTTTCGCTGTCTGTCTCCATGGGTCGTCCCTCGCTAATGAGCTCGCTGCGTTCGTCATCTGCCTCCTCCCCGCCCTGCAGCTCCGGACTGAGTGCGCTGGACTCTGCACCGGTCAAAAATGTGATGGAAGAAGTGGTGGAGTAGTCTGAGGTGATGGAGCTCACCTCTGCACCGGCGGACGCCCCCGGACCTGCTCCTAGTCCGACACATGCTACCGCAGTAAGGTCAGCGGTCGCTCCTGCAGTCCACTTTTTCGGTCTTGACCGTGGGACTGACGCTCCAGAGCTCATGGTCCCGAGGTCTGAAGTGTTTTCATCGAGCTGGGATGGGGGATCCGACAAGGAGGATTTCCCTTGAGGAGCAGTTTGGTAGGCAGAGATGATTGGGGAAGGGGAGGGGGACGGTGAGGGGTGTCTGGGTGGAGTCTTCTCCTTCAGGAATAAGGAGTTTCTATGCTCTCTCTTGGCTTTAGGTGTGAGCTCCACAGTTCTACCGTTCTCTTTCCTCTCCTCTGCTCGTACTGGTTGCTTTGCGTTGGGTTTAGCGTTGGGGCTCGGGCGAGTCTCGCTCTGTACCTCAATCTGGAGGCCGTGGTGGTTCGGCTTCTGGCCAGGGATTTCCTTCTTAAGGAACACAGCATCCAGATCATCATCTGAGCTGCTAGGCTGCGGCTTCTCCTTTGACTTCTTTCTTTTGCGGTTGGCTGCAGCAAAGATGGAGGAGACCAGGAGCTCTCGACTGCACTGGTCCTTCCCTGAGCCCCAGGAACCCTGTGGAGCAGGAAAGGCAGGAGGATACAAAAATGAGTCTTTTTGATACTGAGAAACACAAAGCAGGAACACGTCAAAGAGAACAAAAACCCTTCACCACTGTCTGGAAACTTAAACCTGTACTGCACCTGCTCCCGTGAAGCACCACAAACCAGAGAAGTGGACAGAGAGAGGAACATTAACAGGCGTCATTAACAGGGAGCACATTGAAGTTTCCATGCCAGCCTTAAAGCAGAAGCAGGAGAAGCAGTAGCACAGCATGAACTGAAGCATCACCCCCTGCGCTGAAGGGAAGCAGCC